AACAGCCGGGCGCGGGGGCGCGGGCGGGGTCCCCTGCCTCTCCGCCGCGGGGCTGCTGGGCAGAGGCGCCCTCGCGGATGCCTGGGAGGAGGAGAGATCTTAAGCCGGTCTGGTTTGTTATTCCTGTTCTTTTCCCTCCCTCTCTCCTTCCCATCCTCATCCTTCCTTCCCCCTTCCTTCCTTCCTTCCTTCTTTCTTTCCTTCCTTCCTTCCTTCCTTCCTTCCTTCCTTCCTTCCTTCCTCCCTTCCTTCCTTCCTTCCTTCCTCCCTCCCTCTTCCTTCCTTCCTTCCTTCCTTCCTCCCTCCCTCCCTCCCTCCCTTCCTTCCTTCCTTCTTTCCTTCCTTCCTTCTTTCCTTCATCCTTCCTTTTTCCTCCCTTCCCTCCTTCCTCTTTTCCCCCTTCCTCCCTCCATCCCTCCCTCTTTCCTTCCTTCCTTCCTTCCTTCCTTCCTTCCTTCCTTCCTTCCTTCCTTCCATTCTCCATTTATCCTTCCTTCCATTCCTCCATCTATCCTTCCTTCCTTCCCTCCTTCCTTCCAGTCAGGAGCAGTGAGGTAACTGGCAGCCAATTAAAAGGGAGGCGATTTGCTCTTTGCAGGTGAATGGGGAGTTAGATAAACAAAAAGGAGCAGACCTGGAGCAGTAGGTAAGAAATTGGTGTGGAGCTGGGAGAGGGCAGGCCGGATCCCCCAGAGCTGATGGTGAACTTACAGACCCTTTAATTCCTGGCCCTCTGGAGCCATGGGCGGGACTGGTGTGGGTAGTGCAGAAGCACACAGGCCTGCAGACGCAGCAGGGCTTTATTAAAGCAGTGCGTTACAACTGCTTACAGAAGTTGGGGAGAGACTGGCATGCTTTGGGGCTCTCCGGCCTGTGCAGTCTCTAAGCGGTGCTGATCTGCGGCGGCGCAGTGATTGGAGCAGCCCCGGGGTGGGTTTTCATGCTGACTTGTGGGCGAAGCCCATTGCTCAGCAGGAGACAGGTAGGAGTCCACAGAGCAGGTGCTCTCCGCTGAGAGCCCTCACGGGTGCGTGTCCTGGGCCTGGGTCTGGTGTCTGTGGAGCTCCCTGTCCCTGGAGAATGTCGGGGATTGAGTGGGCAGCCCCGTGTTTGCCCCTGTCGGGCTTGACGTTTCCCCAAACTCCACTGTGTTTGCCTGACAAGGCTGACAGGCTCAGCTGGAGCAGCAGGTGGTCAAGAGCCCAGTCCTGCAGATGCTTCAGAGAGCCATTTCTCCTCTGCTTCCCAAGTGCTTCCAGTAATAGAAGCTGGTGGATGCCCTGAATTCGGAGTGTCAGCCTCCTCTCTGGGTCACTCCTCCCGGAGCTCTTAGAAGTCCTGTCCGAGTAGAGTGCTGGTGGATGAAGCAGGAGGAGACAAGATACAGGGCCAGGGGGCTTGTGGGTCCAGGAGACGAAACTCACCGGACCTGGGAGAGCACAGTGGAAGAGGAGGGGGGCCAGGAATGGCAGGGGACGGTGTGCACCCCGGGGGCTGCGCACTAGGTGATGATCAGGAAGTGGGAGGTTAGAGATGAAGGGGGGGCTCCTCGGGGAGAGGGATGGAGTGGACAGGGGTGGAGTGTGATGGGTCAGGAATACAGTCCACACACACCGGTGATTGAAAAATGAGAGAGCTCCTTGGGAAGAGTAGGAGGAGACACTGAGGTGAACGCAGCAGAACCACGAGGAGAGATGATTATTAGGGATGTGGGAACCGGGATTAGCTCCCAGGCTGTGGGTGGAGGGAGCAGTGCTCAGGAACCTGGGGAAGAGAAAAACAGCAGGGCCTCACTTCATAGAGTGAGGGAATTTGGGTGAACACAGGCTTTGGGAGTCTCAGGATGTCTGGAAAATCCACTCCGGACAGCAGCAGAGGACAGAAAGCTTTGGGATGGTCCCTAGTGAAGCACAGGTTACGACTGTGTTATTTCTGAATACGCTGCTGTTCTCACTGCTGCCCATGGTGCACAAGTCCGTCCCATTGGCTCATCTGCCCCTCTCCCTGGCGGGATGGAGGAGGTTGTGTTGTGTTATTTCACATTGTAGAGGAGCTGATTGGCTCTCCTTCAAGTAGCAGAGTCTGCCTTGAAGAAACCTGGTTTTGCTGACTTTATTCTTGAGTCAACATAGAAGTGGAAGGTTGCTTAATTCAGAAACACCTTAGGAGTGGACATTGAAAGGTGCACCGAGAGGCGTGAATGACAGGAATGCCTGGAGAGGAGCAGTGCTGGGATTGTGGGGCAGACCTGGTGGTGAGAATGGAAAGCTGGTGCTGGTGAAGGGGAGGAGGTGAGCAGGAAGCCAGTGGCTCGAGAGTGGAAAGAAGCCGAGGGATGGAGTTGCCATGAAAATAGACCGAGCTGAAGTCATAGCTGAAGAAAAAGGGGGCCGGGTGAGGTGACTTGACAACAACCTGCCCGCTTCTCCTGAGAAGTTATAGTCTCCTGGTTTGTTTAGATGACCTGCCTGAGGGCAGGAGGAGGAGGTGCATGCCAGGGAAATGCTCAGCTTGCACTTTATGATGCGGTTCCTCTTTTTATTTTGATCTTGTACTTGTTTCCCACCCCTGTTTCAGGTGAAGTGCTTCTTCTGCCTGATTTTAGCCAAAGGATGCTCCGCCCTGCCTTGATTTCTATGGAGACCACCGAGCTGGTGCGGCTTCTATGGACACTTCTTCTTGCTTCTTCTCTACCCCTCAAGGTCTTCACCTCCACCTGCAGCTTGGCGTTAACCCTGGGTCCAGGGCGCCTGTGATGAACGTGAGGAGAGATCCTGAAGACCCTCGCTCCTCTGCTGAGCAGCGATGGCCAGGCACCTTCCGCACCCAGTCCTAACGTGGGTCCGACCATCACCGGAAGGCAAGTGCTAAGACTAACAGCTGATTTGCATTTTATTTAAATTTGATGGACTGAATTTTGGACAGTTTCCATGGCAGAAAAATATATTTCATTTTCTGGACACAACGGCTGGCAGTCAGATACTTGCTGCCTTCGTACCGTGTGGCCAGATCACTGACCTCACCCCAGAGGCGTTTCCACAGTGGAACATCTGCCCCCAGGCAAGGTGTGTGGGAGATCCGGCCTCTGATTTAGGCTCAGAAGTGCCAGGCTGTTTCTCTAGACCTGTGAAGGTCTGGAGAGCAGTGTTGAGTCCCCAGGCCGAGAGCATGGGGTGTGCTGATTTAAAAACAGAAAATGCAAAGTTGGACTGAAAATATCCTTAGTCTTCCAAGCAATCTGCTTAAGGGTTCCAAACTTACCTTCTTTTGGTGAGCAAAGAGGCTGCCCTATTTTCCCCCCTTTCTTTCTTTCTTGTTTTCTTCTTCTTGTACAACTGGAACCAGCCATTTCCCAAAGCCACCACCATGGAGGTCGCAATGGTGAGTGCGGAGAGCTCAGGGTGCAACAGTCACATGCCTTATGGGTACGCGGCCCAGGCCCGGGCCCGGGAACGCGAGAGGCTGGCCCACTCCAGGGCCGCTGCGGCTGCGGCTGTCGCAGCAGCCACTGCTGCTGTGGAAGGCAGTGGAGGATCTGGGGGGTCCCACCACCACCACCAGACCCGGGGCGCCTGCACCTCCCATGAGCCTCAGGGCGGCCGTGGTAGTCGAAGGAGGAAGCGACAGCGGCCCGAGAAGAAGAAAGTCCACCACCGGCAGGGCAGCTTCCCTCACTGCTCTGATCTGATGCCCAGTGGCTCTGAGGAGAAGATCCTGAGGGAGTTGAGTGAGGAGGAGGACGAGGAGGAAGAAGAGGAGGAAGAGGAGGAGGAGGGGAGGTTCTACTACAGCGAGGAGGACCATGGCGACGAGTGTTCCTACACGGACCTGCTGCCCCAGGAGGATGGTGGTGGTGGCGGCTACAGCTCGGTCCGCTATAGTGACTGCTGTGAGCGTGTGGTCATCAACGTGTCCGGCCTGCGCTTCGAGACCCAGATGAAAACCTTGGCCCAGTTTCCAGAGACTCTGCTGGGGGACCCTGAGAAGAGGACTCAGTACTTTGACCCTTTGCGCAACGAGTATTTTTTTGACAGGAACAGGCCCAGCTTTGATGCCATCTTGTATTATTACCAGTCGGGAGGGCGCCTGAAGAGGCCAGTCAATGTGCCCTTCGACATCTTCACTGAGGAGGTGAAGTTCTACCAGCTGGGCGAGGAGGCCCTACTCAAGTTCCGAGAGGATGAAGGGTTCGTAAGGGAAGAGGAGGACAGGGCCCTGCCAGAGAATGAGTTCAAAAAGCAGGTCTGGCTCCTCTTCGAGTATCCGGAGAGCTCCAGTCCCGCCAGGGGCATCGCCATTGTGTCAGTCCTGGTCATTTTGATCTCCATCGTCATCTTTTGCCTGGAGACCTTGCCCGAGTTCAGGGACGACAGGGACCTGGTCATGGCGCTGAGTGCCGGTGGGCACAGCGGGTCCATGAATGACACCTCGGTGCCCCGCCTGGAGAACTCGGGGCACACAATCTTCAACGATCCCTTCTTCATTGTGGAGACCGTGTGCATTGTGTGGTTTTCCTTTGAGTTTGTGGTCCGCTGCTTTGCCTGTCCCAGCCAAGCCCTCTTCTTCAAAAACATCATGAACATCATTGACATCGTCTCCATCTTGCCTTACTTCATCACCCTGGGCACGGATCTGGCCCAGCAGCAGGAGGGCAGCAACGGGCAGCAGCAGCAGGCCATGTCCTTTGCCATCCTCAGGATCATCCGTCTGGTCCGCGTGTTCCGTATCTTCAAGCTCTCCAGACACTCCAAAGGCTTGCAGATCCTGGGCCACACACTCCGAGCCAGCATGCGCGAGCTGGGCCTTCTCATCTTCTTCCTCTTCATCGGGGTCATCCTCTTCTCCAGTGCTGTGTATTTCGCAGAGGCGGATGAGCCCACCACCCATTTCCAAAGCATCCCCGATGCGTTCTGGTGGGCTGTGGTCACCATGACAACTGTGGGCTATGGGGACATGAAGCCCATCACGGTGGGGGGCAAGATCGTGGGGTCCCTGTGTGCCATTGCGGGTGTCCTAACCATTGCTTTGCCAGTGCCAGTGATCGTCTCTAACTTCAACTATTTCTACCACAGAGAGACTGAAAATGAGGAACAGACGCAGCTGACACAGAATGCAGTCAGCTGCCCGTACCTCCCTTCCAATTTGCTCAAGAAGTTTCGAAGCTCCACCTCTTCCTCCCTGGGGGACAAGTCTGAGTATCTGGAGATGGAGGAAGGGGTGAAGGAGTCCCTGTGTGGGAAGGACGAGCAGTGTCAGGGGAGGGGCGAAGACAGCGAGGCAGATAAGAACAACTGTTCCAACGCAAAGGCTGTGGAGACCGATGTGTGAATGGCTCTCTCCACCAGCCACGGCCCCCTGGCATCTCCAAATATATTTATGCATAGACAGTGCAGTTATGAAAATGAAATATGCAAATGAGTCCAATGCATACGGTAGTAGCCATGGAATGGTAATACGTGGCATAATTGTTACTAAACTTGTATCACATGTCAAATAAATGAAACATCTTGGAGAAGAGGGAGGCTTAAATAGGAGCAAATCTATCTTTATATTTTTTATTAGAATGCAAGAATTTTGCACATGAACTGAAAGAGATGTTAATAGTAAAGCTGGTTCCACGGAGAGAGAGAAAGTTGTGTGTGTGTGTGAGGGTGTGTGCCTATGTGTGTATGTGTAAGTAAATTGTCAACGTTGTTGGTAGTCGTGCAGTGACAAGGCCAGTTGGCATTTTGAAGTATTTACTATGTAAGAACTAATGAATCTGAGCAGTCGTGTACCAGTGCTTTAATAGCATCTCCAGTGTCTTTGGATTCTGTAGTTGTTTTTTAAAAATTGTAAGAGTTATTGTGTACAAAAAAGAGAAAGTAAATTATTTAACAGAATATAGGTCACAATTTTATCTTGGATTTAATTAAAGTTTATTTTTGACTGGAAATTAACTTTTAAAAAGGCTGCAGGGGCCTTCAGAAATTGATTATATTTTATTATTAATTTTGGGAAGCGATGACAACAAATGCCTAACATTATGGAAAAGATGGAACTGGAGAAAATGTAACGGGTGTTGTTCCCAGGTAACAGGACTGAAATTCGTTTCTCTTTGCACTCCTTTATATGCTGAAGATTGAGAGACACTTCATACTGTGAATGTTTACTAATGTAACAGTTCAATGACAATCATTGGAAGAATAATTTCTTAGTCTTATTTCATTCCTCTCTCCTTTTCTTTGTGTGAGACTGATGACCACACAAGTAACAGCACACGATTCTCTCCTATTTTGAAACCTAACTGATGCACAAAGGGACTGTGAAGTAAAATTTAGTAACTGAATCTTTTGAAATTGGTCTGTTACATTGATGCTTCAGAAACCATACTATTTTAAATATTCTTCTGCCTCTTAAGTCCAGAATAACTTAACCAAAGTTAATGCATGCACTGAAAGAATTCTCGAAGAAATACGATGCCCAGCAGCTACAGTGACTGTGGCTTCAGATCTTTTTCTATTAAATGTGCAACAAAAATGCCAGATTCATTAAGTTTATTCTTTTGAGTGCACTGTAGAACAGCAGAATATGAGGATTCACCTCCAAGTTTAGCATTCTCCTTACTAAACTGCATGTAAGGAAGCATTGTCTCAAATCACCTGGTTTCCCCATCACAGTCATAGCCATCTTCATTAAAGGATTTTGTGACACACATAACAGCATTTGATTCACAACAAGGTGTTCCAAAGTGTGAGGAAAAAACTAGTAATTTACCTTGCACTACTGACTCCTAATAAGATAAAAGTTAGCAAACTCAACCTACTTCCACAAGAGCCCTTACTTTTTAATTTTTTAATGAACTTTGGTCCTCTACAAAATGGTTGTGTTGAGCTTGGTAAACCCCCCCAAATACCAAGTAGGTTATCTCTATACAGGGTGCACTCTGATACTGTGAAAAGAAAATTATAAAAGATCTGAAATTGCTTTGGTCAAGGTTTTTCAATCGGGACCATCATGTGGTCAATCTTTCCCCTTCTTTAATGGCATTTAAAATTTGAATGAATTAAGTTTTAAGGTGAAAAGTTAATGTACACCCTTCTCCTAGCCTTGCCCTTTCATCTTCACCCGTAGGGAAACACTTTTCTAGGGCACCATTTGGAGAATGGAAGGCAGCAAGCAGTGGGGCTGACTGAATATGGAGAGCGAGATCAACAGTGGACAGTAGACTGGACAAAGCAAGCACAGGTCAGCTGTGACCATGACTCCAAAGACGACGTTTTAACATGTTTAGGGTTCAGAGCAAAAACGTAACGAGTGTTACCTCAGGATAAGGCTATTTAGGTTCATCCCTAGTGCTATGGCAAAGGCACGTACCGTTTCTGCACTCAAATGGCCTCATTCGTGAAAAGGAAGGCACATAAAGCATGTCACGTGACATGGTGATGGAGAATAAACACGAACACGTAAAATCCAAAATGTCTAAAATCTTGACTTTCATGTACATGTCTGACCTAAATTATTTAACTTTCTCTTGGAGAAAGAGGTAGTAAGGACTCGTGAGTTTCATGTAGTCTGTCAGGAGACTGTAAAAATAATGAATTGTTTTGTTAATGTTGTCCTTGCACAATATTGATTTTCAGATACAAACTAGCCAATCCCCGACTAATTACTGGAGTTTCTTCTTTGGGTGTAAGATCTCAGGGATGTCTGTAGACAAGAGACCATGTTTCTTATGCTATCCCCACCTAGATCCGATTATATCTTAAAATAAGGGTTCTCTAGTTAATGATGTTTATTGAACATTCTGTAATAGCAGTGACTGTGATTTGGCTATGTTGTGAAGGAAAGATGTACTGAATTTCATTGTTTATATAACTTCCTTTTTAGCTCTGAAAAGTTAAATTTATTTGCTGATACATGTTACATTGATGTTGCTGAGAATTCAGGAAATAGCATAATTTAGGGATCCTAGGGTTTGATTTAATCTCACGTGGTTTTTTTACGGTAAAAAGGTCAGCAGTGCTGATCATGGGCTTTCAGGCTAAATACTACTAGGCTGTCACTAAAAGTGTGTTTCTCCCCTCCCTGCAGGAAGCATTTATTTTAGGGCATCTGGATCTTGCTTCTACACTAAGAGAAAGCTCTTAAGCCTCAAGAATTGCATAGGGACACTTTGCATGCAACACTTCTCTTACAGAGAAGGTGTGAAAGCAGGACGTTCAGTGCAGCTGTGAATTTATAGCATTTTTTCCAAGTTGAAGCTCGGCAAAGTGCTTTAGAATCATTTGTGAAAATTTTATACTAAGGAAAATGCTTCCAGTCAGTCTGTGTAGCTGATTTAGGAAACTGGATCTTAGATCCACCATACTGGTGTGTTGTAAGAGAAAAGAGAAATGACCCCATGTAGAGATCAGAATTCTTGGGATCTGGGACATAGAGCTGCTTTCCGGTGGTAGCATTACCCAAAGCGCACTATCTGAGGGCCATCCTCAGCAGACTGTTCCAAAGGAAGATGCATTGTTCTTCTCTGCAGATGCCTGATGAGGAAACACTTAGGCCTAACAGTTATGAGGATGAGAGGAGGAATAAATAATCCTTTTGATTCCTGTGGAAGGGCATTAGTAGTTCCCAGGAGAATGACAGCTGACCCAGGGAGTCAAGAGCTGTTACCAGCTTTGTGTGGATCCTTTTATCGAGTCTCAGGGCACGCTTCTCTTTTTCTTTTTCCCTCCCTTCCTTTCCATTCCCTTCTCTTGTCTTCCTGTCTGTCTTCCTCCTCTCTCTCGCCCCCTCTGTAAATCCAGGATATTGGGCTACATTATTACTTTCTCTCTTCTAGTGCCAAGATTTTTCCTGGGGACTTAAAGTATTATACTTTCTTTATATTTCCTGAGTATCTTTCAAGTCATAGCAGCCTGGATTTTTTTTTCTTTTTTTTTTAGTTCAGTGTTAAGAGCATAATGGTTTTAAAATCTCACTGATAGGTTAACTGCAGTATCAGGAGTTTGAGGTTTTTAGAATGTAAATTAAGCTGAATGAATAAGATGTATTTTGAAGCTATTTATCCTGATATCTAAAGAGAATTCATTCACTTAACAAAAACTAACTCCTCTGTCTCCAGTTGAATACTTGTGGTGAAAGTTGGTAAGTAAACCTTTTGATTTCTTACTTTGTCGTAGTGCCATGTTGTCAGTAAACAGAGTTCCAGGACCTACACTGGCGAACTGCCTATACACATACAGCTTTTCACAACTGCTGTGGCATTGCTTGTCAGATTTTCTCCAAACAGGATCATGGCAGCTTTGTGAAAATCTCCTCATTCAGCATGCATTGAAATGGAACTCAGTATATGAATAGGGTATACCTAAAGAAAATACTCGGAATTAAGACATGTAATTTCCTAATTTTTAAAAAGCCTACATCAATACATAGAAAATTATTTTTAATTGCATTGGAATAATAACAGGAGCATTCCCACTTCCCAACAGAGTCAGAAATGGTGGTGTTCCTGATCAATTTCCAGGACTTTCATGGATGTGGAACGTTAACATTGCGGCTCTTAGCGGGTAAAGGAAGACTTCGGGTGCCATTTACGTTTTGAAGTGAACCTGTGCTGGTGTGCTCATGTGCAGGGTGCAGACGGTAACATCCCTCTTTATGTTTTTTTTTTTTTTTTATTGATACAGTTTAGGATGATTACGGGTTGTCATTCAGTGACACAAGGGCCTCTTCCAGGAAATCTTCTTGACCCAAAAGTCACTCTGAATTCTGCAAGGGACATGTGATATGGACAAAAGGTACTTCTTGGTTTTCCTGCCTGAAAAGAAATTTGATCTAAGGACAGGATTTTCCAGGACTTTGTAGCCACCGCCACAGGTTAGCAGACAATCCCTGTGCTAGGACGGGAATCTGCTACCGTGTGCAGCAAGGCGAGGGAGCGCGTTGTGTTTGAGATGGGAGGAACCGGTGCTGTTTTTGCAGGAAATGGGAATATGTATTTCTGAAAAGCAAATGAAGATTAGGATTGTGCTCGGAGTTTTATTTCTGGCTTGGTTCTCTGTTTCCATAGCAGTCCCAATTTCTCACAGTAGCTTCTTTGTAAAAGTATGCTAATACACATCAAGCCATATGGCCTAACTTGAAGTTCAGAAAATACGGTCATCTTATTTATGGGTAAATCACCTTTCCCACAGCATGAGTTTGTTGCTTTAAAATCACGGTGTGTGTTAAGGAGCAGAAACCCTCCCTGGGGCTCAAGCATCCCCTGCAGGTCTGAGGCATCAGAATAGATGTTTGGGGCAAATAGCGTGCTCGTCCTCTTGTCATGGTCTTGGAGAGGATATCTCCCAACCCACTGGTCACAGTGCTGGTGCCTGATGATTCGTTTGTTTTCAGTGGGGTCTTGGAAGGAGACTTAGTCATGAGAGTACCTGGCACTAAATGAGTTGGTTCCTCACCTGCAAAAGATCTACTGGGGAGAGTTCTGGTATCCGGTGTCTTATCTGCGTCTGCTGTTGCTCAGGCTCAGAATGCTACTATCTCCTGTTATATAGCCAGCAGAGGGAATGCACAAATCATAAAAAAGGAAAGTGATATAGTTCACACAAACCACAGAAACTCCAGAGCTAGAAGCTCAGTGAAACTGAACTGGGAAGCTAAGACTGAGGCTCCAACAGCTCATGTTCGTGAGAACTAGATACGAAGGCCTTAGGGAGGCCTTTGTCCTGGTGCCTCGCCACCAGCAGAAGGCACCAAGAGGTGAGAAGGCAGAAACAAGCTGGTGAGTGAATGTATAAGTGAATGTTGTCTGGAAATATAACAGAAGTGCAACCCTCCTGAGCCTTAGTTTTAATAGTATTTATTGAGAACTGCTAATAACTACAGAATATATGTTACTTCTTTCCAGGTATTAGCATTGTATTGAAATGCACTTGGAGTGTATTTTCATAAGTCTGTAGATCGAGGGTGGATTTTCAAAGCCACAGAGGATGAAGGCATTTTTAATCCTCCGTTTCTTAAATCGTGGGCTTTTGAGGGTCAGCCACCTTGTAAACTAGTCAAAGTGGTCGTGTAGGTGACCCCCATGGGCATCCACTAAAGCTGGGCCGGCGTTGAGCCAAGTAATGATATTTGTTTAAAAAGAGCTGTAATATATTCCTGTTTTCGCATATATTGTGTATTTCTTATTTTGCCGTCATTCTGGCAAAAGACTTGTCTAAGCAATAACGGTCTAAGGCAGTGACAGAGAACCTTTCAAGGCTTTCAGTGAAATAGACAGTTGTGGTGCGCATGGCACAGGTTCGCCAGCACTAGTTTAACACATCGAAACAGGAAGAAAAGCGAAAG